ATCAGCACTCTGGGAAGCTGAGGCAGGAGGATCACCGTGAGCCCGAGGATCATCAGGGCTCTGCACGGTGTTCAAGGTCAGACTAAACTGCACAGCGACTTACTGTCTCAAAAAAAAATAAAAATAAAAATAAAAATAAAAAAAAAATTCCTCCTAATTTAATTGTAGAGGCCCTGTTTCTCTGAGCGTGAGTAGAAACCAAATAATATTCTACCGCACGCATCCAGCCCACCCTGGTTTATTCCCATCACGGAAAACCTTACCCTTCAGCGCCCAGCCTCGAGGTCACCTCCTCCAGGAAGCCTCTGGATGCAGTTCCCACCGGCTCCCCCTAGCGCGGCTCTTACCAAGCGGTACAGGGATTCGAGTCTCCACCCCAGCTTGGGACCCACGTGTGCTCATGGCTTCGCAAACGCGATGGAGAGAAGGTGACCACTTAAAGCCCTTCCCTCCGGCCTGGCGAGGACCTCGGACCGGCAGCGCCTGGCGGTCGCGGTCCCTCCCTCCACCGCGCTCCCGGCTCGGCCGCGCGCACCCCGCGCTCCGCAGGAACCCAGGCGCGCGCTTGTGTGCGCTTTGCACCGCGAGAAGCCTACTTTGTAGCAACTTTTCTGCGGAAGTTTGCTCATTCTGGACGTTGGACGCTCAGGTGTTGCCCACAGTGCTAGACAATCCTCAGAAAGCCCTGCACTGCCTGACAAGCTCCGCGTGAGAAGCCTGCTTGTCCGGGCTCAGGAAGCAGAAACTGACACAGCACCTGGCAGAGGATAAGCACCGATTTGCCCTGGGGGCCACTGATACTGCTCTAGACTGGTGGTGGGACCGAGAGGAATCAGACAGCCTGGCACCCCTCACCTTGCACATCTCCTAGCCCAGCACTAGCCTTGCCCAGTTTTTGTGTCCTGAGGACGCTGCCTGCCAGGAGCTCAATGAGTCTTGATGAGTGAGGGCTTGGGCTCTCCCATAAGCCCAGAGGCCTGAGGAAGCACACAGGTCTCTGAGCTTTAAACTTCAGGAGCTCACACTCGTAACCCCAGCACTCCGGAATGCTAGGCAGGCTGACCATAACTCTGAGCCCAGCCTGGCCAAATTGATGAAACTGTCAAATAAAAAGGAGGTGGGCAGGGAGATGGCTCAGTGGAGTAAGTGCTTGCCTGGCAAGCACAGGGGCCTGAGTTCAATCCCTGGTTCTGCCAAAAAAAAAAAAATTAAAAAGTGCTGGAGGCCAGGGATATAGCTCAGTGGCACAGTGCCTGCCTGGCAAGCACAAGGTTGTGAGTTCAATTCCTAGGATACAGCTCAGTGTGAAGGCCCTCACTCAATCCCTGAACTGCATAGAAGCTAGGCTGTCCTCTCCAACATAGAGTTGGCTTGAGACCAAGTGACTCTCATGGCCCGTCCCAAACAGCCATCTTAGGGCCAGCAAAACCTGGGCTCATTCTACTTTACCCCAGCTCCTGTGCCCTAAACCACACTTGTTTTTCAGCACACAAGTGATGACCTCTTCCTCCTCCATGCTGGCCAGTCTGATTTTTCTCCATGTCCCTTGTATTCATGCATCAAAAATGGGGAGGTCAGGTGTAGCACCGCATACCTGTAGGCCCCAGCACTGGCGGAATGAAAACACAAGAGAACATAGATGGCTTCAAAGTTCATTCCTGGTTCAACAAAGAGAATATCAGAGTTCCTTGACTCCTCTCAGAGCTATTCTGGGAACCCTAAACCTGCTTCAGTAGCTGCCTCTATTTTCTGCCTGTGATAGGTGGAGGCAGGGTTATGAGGAATTACAAGAGGTGTTTTGTTGTTGTTGTTGTTTTTAATGTATTTGGTACAGGGTCTTACTATGCAGCTCTTACTCATAGTGATCCTCCTGTTTTCAGCCTCCCCAGTGCTGGGATTACAGGTATGCACCACCATGCCCGGACTAGGTTGCAAACTCAGCAAGCCCAGGGGAGGGGCCAGTGTGGCATCTGGTACCAGGGATTGGGGATTGACAAGAGGTGTTTTTGAGGCAAGGTTTCTTTATGTGGATCAGACTGTCCTCAAACATCCCCCCTCCTCCCTCAACCTCCTAAAGTGCTGAGATTATAGGGATATGCCCAGCGAGGCAGAACAAGATGTTAATAATAGCAGTGCAGCACAGCACAGCACATTAGAAGCAGGGCCCAGGCTGCACTGGCTCTCCTACCTACTTGCCATGGTCTAGTGTAAGTGCCTGGACCTCTCTGGGTGAGCTGGTTCAGCCCCCAGTTTCTTCCGCAGCAGAAGGATGCTGCTGCACTGAAGCCCTTCTATAGAAACTTGGCTCTCTCCTCCCCTTTCCAAGTGTGTCCTACTTGTCCAGGACACAGCAGGTTCAGAAATGGTGACTTTCTCTTTCCCGGTCCTAGAAAGTGGGCAAGTGCTTTTTTTTTTTTTTCACAACCAGGGATTGAACTCAGGCTCTTGTGCTTGCCAGGGAAGCACTTATTCTACTGAGCCATCTCCCCAGCCCCATGGAGCATTTTCTTTGCCTGAGTTGTTCTTGACAACCGGGTCAGCAGCCCAGTGCCCAGTTTTTCTGCAACTCCAGCATTGCCCAAACCTTGCCTGATCTGCCTCACTTCCTTTGGTTTCACTGTGGCAGGTCTGTGGTTTGCCCAGCCCACCCTTGGAGCAGGGCTCAGCTCCAAGGAGAAAGGGAGGGAAATCCAGGATACAGATACTCTAAACTAGTGGTGGTGAACCCACAGCATACCTGCCACAGCAATCTGTATCCCCAAGTGCTGACAATTGAATCCAGCCAGCATCTTCACACTGAGCTACAGCCCTGGCCCCCTTTTTTTCCCTCTCAGGCTGGACTCAAACTTGAGTCCAAAGTGCTAGGATTATAGACCTGCAAAAGCAGGCCTTGCTTATAACCTTTCCTTTTTCCTCTTCCTCATTCTTTTTATTTTTTTTATTTTAGGGAAGGGTTTAAAGGGTGTTCAGGGTCTCACTACTAGATCGAGCTCATAATGATCCACCTGTTTACAGCCTCCCAAGAGCTGGGATTACAGGTGCTTGCCAACAGGCCCAGTCTCAATTGCCTTCTCATGTGCCCCAGGGGTGGGGCCTGCAGGCCTGGGATCAAAACTCAGGTCCCTGTGCCTGCTTGCAGGTGCTTTAATCTGCTGAGCTATTTGGCAGGCCCTATCCTCCCCTCATTCTCTTATTCCTCATTTTTTCTCTTTCTTTCTTTTTACAGTGGGTGTTGAATTCAGAGCCTTCATGCTGAGCTACATCCCTACCAATGTTTTCTTTTGTTTATTTTTATTTCTTACTAAGTTGCTAAATTGTCTGAGCTAGGCTCAAATTTGAGATCCTCCTGCCTCAGCCTCCCAGAGTGCTGGGATTACAGACCTGCATCACCAAGTCTTGCTCTTTCTTCCATTGTTTGGTACCTTTGCCTATCCCCAGAGTCCTCTCTTTTCTGTCTTCCTCAGAACCCAGTCCCCTATTGCTGGGCCATCCTTGAAATTAAGCAGAGAAAAGCAAGGGGAGGAGTGGTGCACGCTGCCTGCCTCAGAGATAGCCCTCCCTTGCCTGGCCCACACCTCCGCGGCAACAGACCCAGGTATTGAGTGCCTAGTGGCAGGAGAGCCTCATTTTTCAGGGATATTGGGAGACACACACACAAAAATAGTGCTAAAGTAGCCTGGCCCACACCTCCGCGGCAACAGACCCAGGTATTGAGTGCCTAGTGGCAGGAGAGCCTCATTTTTCAGGGATATTGGGAGACACACAAAAATGTAGTGCTAAAGTAGCCTGGCCCTTTAGCCCCACCCCCGCCCTGCCAGGTGAACCGGCAGAGACCCGCTCAGCCCCACAGCGGGCGAGCGCGCTCTACTCAGCAACAGTCTGGGCTTTGGGTCAGTTGAGTTTTCCCTAAATTTACGAATGAAGAAAAGCGACTGGATGACCTCTTAGCCAGTGGTCCCGACGAAGCGGCGTGCACCTTAATGCCGCACTCTGGGAGGGTAAGGCAGAGAAATCAAAGTGTGAGCGTGGCCCGGGCAATTTAAGGACTTAGTACAATTGATCCTACTGCCATGCTGTCGCATTTTAGAGAGATTTCACGCCTCCTCTCCTTGTTTTTTGTTTTTCTGGGTTTTGTTTTTGTTTTTTCAAGCCTTGCAATGGAACCCAGAACCATGCTAGGCAAGTGACCTACCACTGAGATGTTTCCCAGGCCTGAGTCTTCAGGTTTTTGGTTTTTTTTTTGTTTTTTTTTTTTTTTTGCAGAACCGGAGATTGAACTCAGATCCTTGCGCTTGCCAGGGAAGCGCTTATTCTACTGAGCCAACTCCCCTGCCCCCTTCAGTTTTAATCTTACAGCAACTCGCGAGGACAGCAACCTTGAGGGAGATCGGCAATAAAAGGAAGTTAAAATTGCATAAAGTCACAAGCAGACTCGAAACTCCCGAGCTCCGAAGGACAAGACTATGAGAAAGGACTTCGCACGACCCGCCCGCCTCGGGATGCAACAGGGTCCCCCTGGAGCACTTGGAGAAATCTAGGATCTGTCTCCGGACCTTGTTCCCAGCGCGCCCGGAAGCTGGGCGCTTCAGGGAATGGGGGTGGGAAGCAGCCTCGGCTCGGCCCCTGGCCCTTTCCAATTGGGCGCACAAACTGGGGTGGGGCTTCTTTTGGAGGCTGAAGGCCTTGAACTCTATTGAGACTTGGAAGACAGCTCAGGATGGATGGGACCTCCGAAGGAGCCCAGGAAGCCGGGCTGGCAGAAGAGCACCTCCTTCCAGGCAGGGTCCCCGCCCAGGGAGCCGATTGGAGGAATCGTTCTCAGCCCCAGGGCCAGGGTGGAGCCCCTTGTCCCGGAGGACCAGACCTGGACTCGGGTGCCACCCCGCGGAGTAACCCGGAGGCTTCCCGGTGGTTCCAGCGCCCGCCGGACTCCCGCTAGCTCTGAAAGTGAAAGGAGTGGGCGGAGGGGGGCGCGGCTCAGGCGGGGCTGGCGCGGAGGCTCCGCCCCGGCAGGCTGGGCCCGCGGGAGCCTAGCGTCTCCAGTCCCCGCCGTGCCGCGGGCTGTGGGTTTGGTGCGTTCTGCGCCGGGAATGACCCTGCCTGGGGGCCCGACCGGCATGGCGCGGCCAGGGCGCGCGGGGCCCTGCAGCCCTGGGCTGGAACGGGCACCGCGCCGGAGCGTCGGGGAGCTGCGCCTGCTCTTCGAAGCGCGCTGCGCCGCGGTGGCAGCCGCCGCCGCCGCCGGGGAACCCCGGGCCCGCGGGGCCAAGCGACGCGGGGGCCAGGTCCCCAACGGGCTCCCGCGGGCCGCTCCGGCGCCGGCCATCCCGCAGCTGACGGTGACGGCCGAGGAACCGGAGGCACCCCCAGCCAGCCCCGGGCCACCCGAACCGGAGGGGCGCTGGCTCCCGGCCGCGGGCGCACACCTGCAGCAGCCGCGCCGCCTTTCCACCTCGTCGCTGTCTTCTACCGGCTCCTCGTCGCTGCTCGAGGACTCTGAAGACGATCTGCTGAGCGACAGCGAAAGCCGAAGCCGCGGCAACGTGCAGCTGGAAGCCGGCGAGGACGCGGGTCAGGTACCGGCCGGACGAGCTCGGGGCGCTCGGGGGAAGCCGCCGGGAACTCGGGTCGGATCCGGCTGCCTCAGCCGTGGGTCCGAGTCCCATAGTGGGAAGAACCTGCAGCTACCACGCAGTTGGCCATGCCGACCTCTCGCCTTGGCAGTGGTCACCCGGAGCTGAGAGGTGGGACTGGGGGCTCGGAGGGGCTCAGCCGGGCGCTTGAACCTCGGCGAGAGTCGGGCGCACAAGGCTCCTTCCCCGCCCCCTCTTGGAGCCGCGGCCCCACCCCCGCCGTTGCCACGGTTTCCCGCTCCTGAGTGGGAGTGGAGCCGCTGCCGTCTGCTGCTGGTGCCCGCGCGAGGCGTGGACGCAAGAGGGAGGGGCGTGAGCTGCGAGGGAGCGAGGCGCAGCCCTCTTGGGGCGCCGGGCCCGCCCGGCTGCTGCTTTTGAATGTGGCCCTGGGGAAAGGTAAACTGAGACCGAGAGGGGTCTGGATGGGCATGCTAACCACTGCCTCAAGGAACCTGAGTCGGGGCCAAGTTTGACCTAGGATAATACAGGTCAGGATGCGTGAAGTCATTGCGAGCGCCCATCCCTCAGGGGTGTGCATCTTTGGGACAGCTTTCTAGTAACCCATGTTTTTCTTTATGGTATCAGTAGTTGGATACAGGCATCCATAGCCCCACCCCCACTTTTATTTTTTTATTTTGAGAGGGTCTTGCTAAGTTGCAAACTTAGCTGGGCTCAAACTTGAGCCAGATCTTCCTGGCTTATCCTCCCAGAGTGCTGGGCTTACAGATGTGCACCACCATATCGGGCTAACCAAGGCTAAATGCATTCACGGCGTGCTGTGAGCGCTGAGTTGCTTAGACCCACATTAAGCGAATGTCTCTGGAGCAGGGAGTCCCTGGGCGCCAAAGGCCTTCAGTGTTTCCAGGGCTGCCCAGAAGTCCAGACCGGTGACAGGGTTAGCCGCAGACGTATTCCAGGTGAGGACACCGCGAGGGGCAAATGCTGTGGCTCAGCCTGGGCCTTCTCGACCCTGACCCCGCTGCGTGGTTACCTTAAAGCAGGTGCAGGAGATTGTGTGGCTACTCAAAGTAGTTCCATGACTCTGGGACCCACCACGACTTCCAGTATCTGGAAGGCAGCAGACTTGGTGACACCCACGCTAGCAGAGCAGGACACCACCCACCTATCTGCACCACACCAGTTGCAGGTGCAGCCCTCTGTCCCGAGCCTGCCGCGTCCCTCGGGCCACTCCTCCTCTGTACCGGAGCCAGGGCCAAGGTTCCCAGGGCAGTAGCAGGAGGAGCCTGGAAAGGACTCCTCCTACTCCCCTCCTCAGTCCGCCCTCGCTCACATCTCTGACACCTAAGAGGCGGGCTCAGGCGTGAGGGCAACCCGCGGGGGAACAGGGAGAGTGGGAACCCACGGAGCGCGGGGGAAGGCCCCCACCTGGACTCCGGGACCAGTTGCAGCCATGCTTTGGGGTCTTGAGTCTCTCACACTGATGGACCTCGCTGTCCTGGGCTCCCCAGGAGCTGGTGGAAGCTGAGTGCCCTTCCAGCCCTGGAGCCGCATCTTACAGGTCTTCCCATCCCCCAGTTTGCTCCCGGGGCCTCCCCGAAGGCAAACAGGCACTGTGGCGCAGATAAGCCCGGGGCTGTTGACAGAGGCTGCCTAAGTCCGCGTGGAAGCGCCTCCAGCGGACTTTGCGCTTCAGCTGGACTGTCCAGAGACACAGTGCTGGCCAGGGTGCCTTTAGGGCTTCCCCAGGCTGGAAACGGGCTCTTCCAGCTAGGAAGGATGCGCTCAGCACCTAGCTGGCCAGTGCCTTGCACCACAAGCTCTGTGTGCTTCTGCTGGGCGCATACCGCTGTCTCTCACCCCCCACCCCAGGAGCTAGCCAAGGCAGGGCAGGTAGACCAGGCCACTTTGCCACCCTGTTTACAGCAGCCTTTCCTCTGGTGGAGGGAAAAGTAGGGACAAAGAAACCTGACAATCCAAGAAAAGGACTGGAAGGCTCCCCACCGGGGCAACCATGAGCCCCTAACAATCGAACAGTGGGGTGGCTGTAGCGGAAGAGGGGTTGCTTGGCCCGCGTGCTTCTGTCTTTCTCCTTTTCTTGCTCCAGGCTAGGGAAGGAGACCTGGATGCTGGCCCCTCCTGTACTCAGAACCCCCACACCTCACTTTCCACTAATTATAGAGCAGAATTTAGGTTAACAGACTCCCTTTTTAAAAAGCGAATGCCTATGGGAAAGTGAAGTCGTGGGTCACTTATACCTTGGTGCAAATCATTTTATAAATTTAAACTGATTGCTCTCCCCACCACCACCACCACCATCACCATGGGGAGTGCTAGCTTGATAGGACAAATGGAGCATGGGGAGGGTGCTGGGCTGGCAGAGTGGCTGGAGGCAGGATGAGTCCAAAGACGGCAAATGGCCTGTTGTGGTCAGAGGATGGCTCCAGCCTGGCACTGCCCACACTGTGCTCCCTGCTCAGCCCAGGGCACTATTACAGAGGGTCTCACTCACTCAGCTCTTCTGCCTTCTGCTCCAAGATGATTAAGTCACATCTCAGTGGAGGTCAGCCTGGGTCAAAGCAGTGGGCTATAGTGGCAATAGATTTCATCTATAATATCAAAAGGCTGCATTCTGATGCCCGTATAACTCTCACTTGCTCAAAGATAGGTCCTTTCTTGTTGTTTATGAGCCAAAATCCCCACCCACCCACTCACCAATGATTCCCCCAAGAGGCTCTTTGGCTGCATTCACTTGTGGAGGCATTATGTTCCCTGAGGAAGGTAACTCACTGAGGTGGAAGGTGATGGACTGTTGAATTCCATCACATCTGGCCTGACTTCTTCCATCTTGACATTTACTGGCAAGAGAAGCCTGTCATAAGAAAGCTCAGGAAACTAGGTATGGTAGTGCATGTCTGTAATCCCAGCATTCTGGGAGACTGAGGCAGGAGGATTTCAAGTTCAAGCCCAACTTGGGCAATTTAGTGATTTTTCTTTTTTAAATGTATTTGATACAATCGCTTCTCGGCCTTTTGGCTAAGATCAAGTGTAAATGTATTTGATACAGGGTCTCACTACGCAGCTCAGACATAGTGATCGTCTTGTTTTCAACCTCCCTAGTGCTGGGATTACAGGAGTGTGCCACCATGTCAGGTCTTGTGGCCAGCTCAGCACACCTAGGGGCGGGCCAGTGCAGTATGTGGTGCCAGGGATCAAACCTGGGTCCCTGCACTTACCTAAGCAGGTGCTTAGTCTGCTGAGCTATCTCATTATCCTTAATTTAGTGATTTATTGAGACCCTGTATCAAAATAAAAAGTAAAAGAAGGAGGACTAGAGTAAAAAGAAAGCAAGCCCAGAAGTTAGCTGGGAGGACTCAGCTGAGGTGCTGGCTACAGAGTCCTTTGTTAACGACTGCTCTTGACTCACATGGGACACAGCCAGGTCAGGAGGATAGGTGACCTTGTTTCCCTTCTCCATGTTGTTGAGCGTAGCCAATCACCTCAGCCCCTCTGGCCATTCCGCTTCCTCTTCAGCACCCTCATTGCCTCCATGCAACCCCAAGAGAAAGGAAGCCTGGTTTGGTTACCTTGCTCTGCCATCAGAGAGCTGCTTCCCCTTCTACTAGGATGACTATGGAACTCACTAGATCCATCCTGGTCCTAGTAGCCCCCACATTCTGCTAACGGGCCCCCAAACTTCCAGAAGCTCTTCCTTGAAACCCATTCCCATGACTGGGAGGCCAAGCCCATGTTTCTGCACAGCAGCATCCTCCAGGTGCAGAGCACTTTGTAAGGAGCTCTCAGATTAGTGTCTCATTCAACCCTGTGTGTGGCGGCATGGACCTCAGAAGGTGCCGAAGAAGTTGGATCACACGGAAGACACAGAGCTGGTAGGAGCTTCAGCTGGCCACTGGGAATCTGGGCAAGGAGTGATCAGACGCTAAAGCCCCTGAGGCTCAATTGCCTTTTGTAAAATCCCTGAGCCCGCCATGCCTGGACACCCTCACCACCAGATGGGATGAGAGAGAAGGACTCTAGGATGGCGCTGATGATGGGTGGTACACGAATCACCGTCCTGGAATTTTACTTGATGATTTGGAGGTGGGGAGTTTTATAATAAAGCTCGAATTTATTATGCATCAGAATGCAGACCTTGTGTGTATTTAAAGATTTTAAAAGGGAGTTTTGAAAGAGATGTCATGCTTCTAGTGGGCTGCTTCTGGCTACACCCCCAGATCCCGGATTGCACATGTGATCACGCCCTGGTGTACCATGTGGGGACGTAGGTAGAAACACATGAGCAGTGCTGTCTGAGGCAAGATGAGAAGGTGCCTTGCAGCAGTGTGTGCAGGCAGTAGATGGTGGCTCGCTTTAGGGCAACCAGTGGGTCCCCCATGAGGAAAGACACCCACATGGATGACAGTGTTTTCTCAGGCTCACTCAGCTACCATGCCAAAGCCAGGACCGGATTCCCCTGCTAGTCTCCACCTAGTGCTTTGCTTCCAACTCTCCATGGAAAGGCCTTTGTCTGCCCGCCTACTCTGGCCACCTCCTGAGTCCTCCCTCTCCTGCTGTAATCGCTCATTGCTGGTTCCTGGCTTTAGTCCTGTGGGAACCTGGGCATGACACCTCTGAAAGGCGAGTACTCTTTAGAGGAGGTGGCAGATATAGCGACAGGAGCACACCCAGGCACCTCAGGGTAGACACCTTGCTAGAGGTGGCAAGTGAGACGGTGTGGTGCAGGATGTTTTCACGATCAGTTAGAGGCCAGAGCAACAGTCATAATATAAATGCTACCCCCTAAAATCTCCATTCCCTACATTGATGACTAAGATGTCAAGGCCACAGCTTTGCAGCCTGTTTTCAGGGCTTAGCTTTCTGTGTCCAGATCAGAAGGGAGGGTGCCTGGGTTTTGCCAACTAGCGAGGCGCACGTGGAACCCAAAGATGCTCAAGGGCCTTGCAAAGCTGGGTCCATGAGTCACTTCTTGCTGAAACAGTAACTGGCACTCACAGTTTAAGGTAAGAGAGGTTTACTCTGTTCAGGTTCCAGTCTGTGGTCCCCTGGCACTAAAGCAAAGATGTCATGGTAAAAAGGTGTGGCAGAGCAGGGCTGCTCACTCCAGGGCCTTGGCATGGAAAGGGGGAGTGAGTGTCAGAGGAAGGATGTGGAAGCATGCAGGACCAAGGCCCACCTCAGGACCCACCCAGACACAGGCTGAAGTGTGTTCCTCCTTCCCAGGGTAGATCCCAAAGCCAATCCAAGTTGACACTCACTTTAGCCACCCAGACCCCAGAGCCTTCCCACTAAGCTACACTCCCAGCCTTTTTTTTTTTTAAATTCTAAAACAAGGTCTCACAAACTCACTAAGTGGTCCCTCTAGGCTTGAACTTGAGCACCATGATGAGTCTCCTGCCTCAGCCTCCCAGGGTACTAAGATTACAGATCTTTTTTTTTTTCTCCACATTCAGCCCAAGTGACCTGCCTCCCCTGAGCCTAGGAAAGGGCTGATTCTGTGTTTTTTTTTTTTTAAATTTTATTTTAATTAATTACTTAATTAATTTATTTATTGTGTGTGTGGCCAGCTCAGCCCACCAAGGGGCGGGGCTGGCTGGCATATGGTGCTGGGGGATTGAACCGCGGTCCCTGTGCTTTGCTTGGTTTAGCTTGTTCTAAGTAGGTGCTTTGGGCCACTGAGCCATCTCACCAGCCCTGATTCTGTGTTTCTTTTAACAAGAGGTACTAAGGTCCTAGGTCAGTGGCAGGAAACCTTTTAGAGACTGAGTGCCTAAAATGCAACCCCAAACCCACATATATATTGTGAAGTGGCAACACTGAAAAAAAAAAAAAAAACCAAAAACCCCCTGGGTGCTGGGGTGGCTTGGCTAATGTGCTGACAGAGAGCTCTGTGCCTGCTGTGACCTGCATGCTATAGGTTCACCATCTCTGTCCTAGGTGAAGGAATCAGTGATCTAAGTTTGTCTGGCATCTGCTTCATGCTAAGGAGTAGGACTGGGGAGCTGAATATCAGGTACACTGAGCCTAAGTTAGTATCACAACATCCCATAAAGTATAGTTATGTCCACATTCTATATATGTATAAAATATTTCTTTATGGTGTCTCATTGTGAAATTCAGCCTGGCCTCTAACTCAGGGTGGTACTTTTGCCTCAGCCTCCAAGTGATGGGTTTACAGGCATACCTGTCTCTTCCCCCGTCTCATAGATGAAGAAACTGATACTGAAACCCCCACCTCTGACCTACCCAGAATTCCCTGGCAGTAGATCTGAGAATCTCTATTAAAAGTCACCATCAGCTGAGTATAGTGGCTCATGTAATCCCACCACTGGGGAGACTGGAGCAGAAGGGTCTCAATTTCAGGCCAGCCTGGTTTACATAGCAAGTTCAAGGTCAGCCTGAATGATATAGTGAGATTCTGTCTCAGAAAACAAAAAACAGTGTGATGGGACATACCTGTAATTCCAACACTCTGGGAGTCTGAAGCAGTAGGATCAAAAATTCCAGGTCAGCCTGGATTTAGTGAGACTCTGTTTTATAAATAAAGGGCTGAGAAACTGGCCATGGTGGTGCACACCTGTCATTCCAGTGCTTGGGAGGCTGAGGCAGGAAGAGTGCTTTTAGTATGAGGCCAGCCTGGGCTACATAGTGAGACCCTGTCTCAAAAAACCAAGTGAGGGCTGGCTTAGTATCTGCCTGGCAAGTACAATGTTCTGAGTTTGGTTCCCAGTACAAACAAAAAAACAAACAAACAAAAAAAAAAAAACAAGTGAATGAATGGGGATTTAGTTGTGTGAAGGTCCTGGTTCAACTCCCTATAAGGATGTAAGTGTGTGTGTGTGTGTGTGTGTGTGTGTGTGTGTGTGACCATTAGATAATTCCCTTGCTCACAAAAATCACCAGTAGAGTAGGCAAGGTGGTTTCTCAATGGGGGAGCTAGTGGGAACCTGGGCCTGCGCACAGTAAATCCAGGGCTCGGTTTTCCTGTTCCCACAGCTGGGGTCCCTTGCCCTTTCTCAGTGTGTGCCAACCTTAATCTTTCCCAGTGCCTGAGGGGCAAGCAGAGCTTGAGGCTCTGGCTGCTTCCCTGAGCCTGGGCAGGGAGTGCCTGCGACCCTGAGGTACTACCTGCACATTGGGACCCATTACTTTCAGAAAAGCCACTGGCAGAAGATCCGCACCATGGTGAACCTGCCGGTCATGAGTCCCTTCCGGAAGCGCTACTCTTGGGTACAGCTAGCAGGGCACACGGGTGAGCAGGGGTGTTGTGGGCAGTCATGGGTGGGCACCGCCAGGCGCGCACGGGTTGAGGGGGACGGCCTTGCTCACGGTGGCCTCACAGGGAGCTTCAAGGCGGCGGGCACAAGCGGGCTGATCCTGAAGCGCAGCTCAGAACCGGAGCGTTATTGCCTGGGCCAGCTGATGGGGGATGCGCTGCGTGGCTGTGTGCCCACCTTCCACGGCGTGGTGGAGCGTGATGGCGAGAGCTACCTGCAGCTGCAGGACCTGCTGGATGGTTTCGACGGGCCCTGCGTGCTCGACTGCAAGATGGGCGTCAGGTGCGCAAGTCGCAGGGGTTCCCTGAGAGTGGTGGGAGGGGTCCCCGCGTGTCCTCATTCCCCTGTCTGTGCTCCACAGGACTTACCTGGAAGAGGAGCTGACCAAAGCCCGGGAGCGCCCCAAACTGCGCAAGGACATGTACAAGAAGATGCTGGCGGTGGACCCTGCAGCGCCCACCGAGGAAGAGCATGCGCAGCGGGCTGTCACCAAGCCGCGCTATATGCAGTGGCGGGAGGGCATCAGCTCTAGCACCACGCTTGGCTTCCGCATCGAGGGCATCAAGGTGGGCCACGCCTCTCACCCTGACCTGCCTGCCAGTCCACAGTCCCTCCCTTCCGCACCCTTTGAGGAACTGGGAGGTGCCACTGCCCTTGTCAGATCCTCTTCCTCGGGTGGGTGGGGCCCTCACACTCCCTGCCCACCTCCTTCAGAAAGCTGATGGCTCCTGCAGCACTGACTTCAAGACCACGAGAAGCCGAGAGCAGGTGACCCAAGTCTTTGAGGAGTTTGTGCAAGGAGATATGGAAGTGCTGGTGAGAGCCTGGGCCTAGAATCCTGAGGTGCTTGATCCCAAGGATGCCTCCTGCTCATCTGTTCTAGTACCATCTGCTGCCCTCCCCCAGCATTTGTCTCACTGTGTTAAAATTGTTTTGCGGTCCTTCCGTCTGGGCCCTGTGTAGGCTTGTCTCTTCCTCACAACTGAATTTGCTAGCTGAAAATGCATGGTGCCTGCAAGGTCTCCCTCAGCATGCAGGTAATCTGCCCACTCTACCCTGTCTAGAAAAGGTATCTGAACCGCCTGCAGCAGATCCGGGACACCCTGGAGGTCTCCGAGTTTTTTAGGAAGCACGAGGTAAGAGGCCTGGGTGGGCTTAGGTGCTGGGGGTGGGGAGTCCTCAGAGAGGGGCTGTGGCCTAACTGTGGGGCTCGCAGGTGATCGGCAGCTCGCTCCTCTTCGTGCACGATCATTGCCATCGCGCTGGCGTGTGGCTCATCGATTTTGGCAAGACCACGCCCCTTCCAGATGGCCAGATTCTGGACCACCGGCGGCCCTGGGAGGAGGGCAACCGTGAGGACGGCTATCTGCTAGGGCTGGACAATCTCATTGGCATCCTAGCAGGTCTCATAGAGAGATGAGGCCAGGCCCTGTTGCCACTTGGGCCTGCCGGTCAGAAAGACATGGACCTGTGGCTGTGACCCCACAGTGCATGCCAGCAAGACCAGACCCCGCTGCGCGGGCAGTTGCTCGGTCCTGCAGGGCCAGGTGCCAACCACTAAGGGGTGCGTTGCCAACACAGGGAGTTGGCCTCACATAAGCCCCAAATTCCCAGAGCTGGATGACACTAGTTTAGAGGAGGGGAGAACAATGGGCTTCTTTGTTAGCTCTGAACCTCTCCAGAGGGACCAGATAAAGAATTGCATTTCACAGGTCTAGATCTATTGGACAGGCTTCTCACACTACAGTGGACTCCCCAATAAAACTCAAAAACCCAGCTTTTATGACTCGGTCTCATTCCCTCCCACTCTGGTCCCTTCTTCTTCTGGACTCCTTCACATCCACTCAGATCATGACAGATGTCAAAAGAGCTTTTATTAGAAACATTTGTAGGGTTAGGAGCTTCTCAGATGGATGTCCCTCATGGGAAAGAGGAATCCAGGTCTCCCTGCTGACCCCTGGGGCTATTTCCAGCATAGAAAGCCCAGTGTGGCCAGGATGACCCTGAGACAGACCCAGGCATGCCTCAAGGCTGCAGCAGACAGAGGCTACTGAGATAACAAGCTACTGTGGAAACCCAGGAAGCAGTGGAGGAGCCTTCGCTAAGATCAGTGCTGAGTGCTCACCTTCAGGGCCCTCTGGGCCTAGGAACCATAGGTCGGATTCCAAAGGTTCTGAGGTTGGAGGCCTCTGGGTTTGAGGGGCTTGAGGCCAGAGGACAGCCAGTAGCCAAGATGGCTTCCTTCCAAGCTTTTTGGGGTCTTTGGACTCTGGCTCTGGGGTTCTGGGGATCTGGGATCCTCCCAAGACCTATTCTCCAGCCCAGAAGCCCCTTCCTCTTCCAGAATAGGCTCCAGAGTCATTGACAGGGGCAAATTCAGCACATCAGGGTCCTGTGATGGGAGGGTGGGAATCACAGAGCCATTGAGGTATTTTTATGGCTTCCAGATCTGCAGGGAAGGGAGTGGAGGGCTGAGGAAAGGGGGGCTGGGCACACCTGAGTGCAGTACTGGAGGTGCTGCAAGATGCTGGCGAAACTGGGGCGGAGCTCAGGCTGATGCTGCCAACACTGGGTCATGATACGGTACCTGAGGTGGGGTGGGAGTTGGAGCCTACCCATGGTCTCCCCGGCCCTCCCTCATGGGCAACCTAGAAACTTACACTGGCCCCGGACAGCCCCGAGGGGGGTCCATCCGGCTCCCTGCAGTGACGAAGTCCAGCACCTCTAGATTGGTGCGCCCAGGGTAAGGCATGTACCCCAGTGAGAAGATCTCCCAGAGCAGCACCCCAAAAGACCTGCATCACAGGGGGGGAACAAACAGGTGAAGCTCATCAGTCATGTGCAACCTTCCTTTCCCTCAGATGAGGCAGGATGAGCCTCTGGATAGGACAGGGAGCAAGAAGAGGGAGTGTCATCACCAGGAGTCTGTCTTGGATGTGAAGATGCCCTCCAGAAGGGCTTCCGGGGGCATCCACTTGACTGGGAGGAAGGCGGGGCCACCCCTGCGGTAGTAACTGTCCCTGCAGGAAGGAGGAGGAAAACAAGCAGCTGTTCAAATACCATCAAAGTGCTGGTGAGCTCCTGGAAGCCCAGCTTTCCCACCTCCCCAAGCTCCCTACCCATAGATATTTCTGGCCATCCCAAAGTCTCCAATCTTGGCTACCCGGCCAGGCCCAGTGCAGCTTAGCAGGCAGTTCCGGGCAGCAATGTCTCTGCAGAATGAGGAAAAACAAAAACTACAGTCAGAATTCAGCTTTGGCCCTTCATGATGCACTTCCCTAAAAGTCAGCTGTTAGGGCTATTCCTTGAGCAATGAGTTGGGGTCGGGGGTTCCCTAGCCAGGAATGCTCCTGACCTGTGGATGAAGTGATTCTCCTCCAGGTAGTGGCAGCCCTGGGCTATGTCCAGGGCCAGCTGCAGCAGGTCCTGCATGGCCAGAGGTGATGGTTTGCCCTGGGTCAGACAGAGGGTATGGAAGTCCATGCTGGTCTTGGGACACATGGACAAGATCTCTTTATTTATTTATTTGTTTATTTATTTATTTGGTGGTACCAGGGATTGAACTGGGGACCTTGCATTTGCCAGGCAAGCACTTATTCCACTGAGCTATCTCCCCAGCCCCCAAGATCTCTAATTTATAGGGGCCTTTAGGCCCAGGGAAAGGGCTCACCAAATGAGGCTGGCTCTCCACCAGGAAAGTCTTCATGTCCCCTCCAGACATCAGCTCCAGAAGAATGAGGCGAGGCGCAGCCTGGAAGCTGAGCCCCACGCAGCGCACAATGTTCTGGTGGCTGAGCTTGCTGGGTGGGTGGGGGCACATCAGGAGATAAGCAGGTTCTGGGGCCATGCACTGCAGAGGACCTCCGCTCCAGGGAGAAGCCATTCCTGCAGGTGGCCCCTGCCCATCCCAGGCGAACCTGATGATGTGCACCTCCATGAGGAAGTCCAGCTCCTCCCGGGGAGAGCAGAGCTTCCGCAGAGCCTAGCGAGGAAGAGGGCAGCAATGCTGAGTCCCACCAGACCCTTGGGGAGGGCAGTTAACCCTTACTGGAAGGACCACTCATCTCTCCATGGTGCCCTGGTTTCCACCCCCAGCACGAAGTTCCACCCCTCTCACCTTGACAGCCACCTGCAGGGGGCTGGGTTCCCCAGGAAGGCCGGTTACCAGGCCCTGATACACCTCCCCAAAGGCGCCATGGCCCAGCGCGCTGCAGGAAGACAGGTTGGGAGTGGGTTAGGATCCCTTCATCTGCTTTGTCCCACTATACGCTCAGCTGACTTTATCTGAGCTCTGCACCATGGATGTCCAGAGCATAAGACCTGCAAGGTGGGTGAGTGCTGGCTCCAAAGCCAAGGCAAAAGGAAGGTAGAGCTGGGTTGGATGTTGGGATGGGGTTACCACTTAGACTGTTGCAGATACTTTTGCAGTTGCAGGGAAGGTGGCTCTGGAGCTCCAGAAAAAGTCATATTCCAAAGTCTCTACCATGCCAGAACTGGGCTAGAGAACTAACTTTGAAAAAGTTACCTCCCGGGGCTGGAGAGATGGCTCAGTGGTCTAAAGCACCTACTTGGAAAAA